GGTTATGGGGTGCTCCTCCCAAGCATCAGAGGCAGCGCGGGAGAAAGGACAAAGTCGTTCCGGTCCCAGAGCCGTCCACGGAGAGCAGGGCCCCCCGGGACTGGGTGCGGTACGGAATTGACAATCTCTCAGATTCCGAGACTTTAAGGCCGAGAAGGGACCATCAAGTTCATCCGGTCTGTCCTCCTGCACGTGGCAGGCCGCAGAGCCCCATCCGCCCGTGTCAAGGCTGTATCCCCACTTTGAACTTTAGGGTACAAGAGTGGGGGCCTGCATGAGGACTCCTAAGCTTATCTACCAGCTTAGCTTTGGTCCGCTGCCACCATCACAAGAATTCCCTCCCTGGGAAGCCTTGAGAAACCTTTCACCAATTCCCTGGTGAACACAGATCCAAACCCCCTTGGATCTTAAAACAAGGAGAAATTAACCATCCCTCCTCCTTCCTCCCACCCTCCTTTCACCAACTCCTGGTGAGTACAGATCCAAACCCCCTTGGATCTTAAAACAAGGAGAAATCAATCTGGTTCTTAAAAAAGAAGGCTTTTAATTAAAGAAAAAGGTAAAAATCATCTCTGTAAAATCAGTATGGAAAATAACTTTACAGGGTAATCAAACTTAAAGAGCTCAGAGGACCCCCCTCTGTCTTAGGTTCAAAGTACAGCAAACAAAGATAAATACTCTGATAAAAGGTACATTTACAAGTTGAGAAAACAAAGTAAATCTAAGACGCCTTGCCTGTCTTTTTACTTACAAGTTTGAAATAGGAGAGACTTGTTTAGAAAGATGGGGAGAACCTGGATTGATGTCTGGTCCCTCTCAGTCCCAAGAGCGAACAACCCCTTAAACAAAGGACACACACAAAAGCCTTTCCCCCCCCCCCCAAGATTTGAAAGTATCTTGTCCCCTTATTGGTCCTTGGGGTCAGGTGTCAGCCAGGTTACCCGAGCTTCTTAACCCTTTACAGGTAAAAGGATTTGGAGTCTCTGTACACAGAGAGCTGTTACCTTTCCCTTTATAGTTATGACAGCCCGCTCCTCTCCCAGGCCTGTAACCTCTGGCTGAGTTACTGACGTCCTCAGATCTTGATTTAGAGACTTCAAGTGACAGAGAATCTACCATTTAGTCAAACCTGGAAGTGACCCATGCCTCACACTGCAGAGGAAAGCAAAAAAACCCCAAGGTCTCTGCCAATCTGACCTGTGGGGAATATTCCTTTTGAAAATGGGGCAAATCACGTAAATCCAGATTACAGGAGGGGCCTTTGGGGTGTATTTAGATCCTCAGCTCACATTGAAACCCATGAGAGTTAGGTGCCTAAATACCTTTGAGGATCTGGGCCCAAGTCTTTCTGGCCTCAGTTCCCCATCTGTAATATGGGGCTCGTGATGTTTTCTTTGCCTGTCTTGTCTATTTCGGTTGTCAGCCCCTGTCCTGCACAGCTATCTCCTACTAGGTGTATGTACAGCTCCAAGCGCAACGAGGCCCTGACCGCTTCATTGGCAGCCTGCATACATAGAGGCCAGTGGTACTACATCCCGAGAGGCCTGTTGCACCCAGTAAGGGCCCTCCTGAAACCTGGCCCTCTTCCGCTGGTTCCACTTCTCTTCCACCAGCCCTAGAGCAAAGATTTAAATCAGTTCAGAGAAGGGCTCAGATATGCAGCATGACAAAAGCAGGGAATGACCCCCTCCCCGCCCCTCTACCTTCCCCGCTCCGCTGTTGTTTGTCATCTAGGCTCCCGTAACAGGCTCCTGCAAGGTCTGAGGTGTGTTGGTGCCAAGCATTTCCCACCCCCGCAACCCTATCCGCTGGTTTTCCAATCCCAGCCACCTCTCTGGGCTCCCGTCTCTAGCCCATCCTCATTAACCCACAGGCCTTAATTAACACTCGCGTTGTTGCCTGCGAGAGAGGAGCAGAGCTGGCCTTCCGGAGCAGGAAGGGGAGTGAAAAAAGGTCTGCCCCGGCTGTCATCAATATATTGATCTTTCCCCTTTCTGCCCCTTCTACCTCCTGGTGTTTAATTGGCAGTAAATGAGACCAGTTGGAGGTGTTGTAATTAATGCCTGCCCACAACTCTGTCACAGCCAGGATATGGGATTGCTCTCTCTGCCTTTTTACAGCATATTACAGCCGGTCGGGAATCTTCTGGTGGAATGATTGTGGCTGAAAAGATCCTGTCTTTGGAAAATCAGAATTTCCCCCAGGAAACATTTCCATTTTTGCCCCCCCTTCCAAAAATCATCAATCCCCCCCCCCCCCTCCACCAGGCAGGCTGAGCTCTTTGGATCTCTGCCTCCACTACCCCAACCAGGCTGACTCTCCAGTAGGTTGCGTACAGATCTGTTGACAGGATTTGGGGCCTTAAAGAGAGGAAAGATATTCGGGTTCTAAAGTGGAGATACCCTTGAAATGCAAGGAAAACCTGCGCTGGCTATTATTTTCTAGCCACTGTTTCATTTGACACACACATTCACCTGTGGAACTCATTGCCACAAGAAAGCATTAAGCTTAGTGGGCTTCGCAAAATGGACTTGCCTCATGTATACAGCTAATGAGAACATCCGGCCTTATCTTAGCAAAGAACGACCAATCAAATACAAATAACTGGAGGAAGGGCTCAAAACCTCATGCTTCAGGGTCTGAATCAAGCTCTAATGGGTGGAGGTCAGGAGGAAACATCCCCGGAGGCAGGTTATGCCATCACTGCAGGGGTTCTTGCACCTTCCTCTAAAGCAGCTGGGGCTGGCCAGTGTTGCAGACAGGTTCCTGGGCTAATTTGCTCAAGTTTCCTGTGTTGTTTGTATTCCTAGTCTGCTGGGTTCTTGCCCAGCCGCATCCCTGGAGTTTGGATCTGATGCACATTTTGAGGAGGCTGGTAGAGGACGAGAGATGTACAGAGAGAGGAGAGGTCAAGCCGGAGGATGCATGGTCAGCGGGATCAGAGGAACTCTCTGGCATGGTGGCCAGCAGGGAGAGGAACGGAGACACTTAACAAGAGAAGGGGGCCAGCTAGTGACCGTGGGAGGCAGACCTGACTGGGTGTCAGAGATGAGACTCGGACAGGGGCCGTGGCCACCAGGGTGTCAGGTTCGACAGCAATGCGGAGCCGGAGCAGGGCTCCTGAAGGGACGTGGCCGGTGGGGAGAACACCTTTGGCCAGGCTGGAGTACGGGTGAGGTAGGTTGCAGGGAGGCCAGAGAGAGGAGAGAAGCGACATTAGTCCAGATGAGCTGTTACGGCACTGGCAGGGTTGGCGGCATTGGAAGAACCTAGGTGGGAGCTTGACGCCTCTCTAGCTGGAGATAACCGGGTGAACAGCCAGCGATTAGCTGCAGGGATGTCCCTAGCCAGACATCAGTTCTGCAGACTGGAGGGAGGAGATGAGGCTGCTAAGAAACAAAGTCCCCATCGATGAGAGAGGGGAATGCAGTATAGCCCGGCTCCATCCACAGCACCCATTCCATGCAGCCTTGATGGACAAGGAGCACCCTCTGCTGGAAGAAGCCTCTGGATTCTGCAGAAAAGGACCTGGGGATTACAGTGGACGAGAAGCTGGATATGAGTCAGCAGTGGGCCCTTGTTCCCAAGAAGGCCAACGGCATATTGGGCTGTATTAGTAGGAGCATTGCCAGCAGATCGAGGGAGGTGATTATTCCCCTGTATTCGGCACTGGTGAGGCCACACCTGGAGTATTGCGTCCAGTTTTGGTCCCCCCAGTGCAGAAGGGATGTGGACAAATTGGAGAGAGTCCAGCGGAGGGCAATGAAAATGATTAGGGGGCTGGGGCACATGACTTATGAGGAGAGGCTGAGGGAACTGAGGTTATTTGGTCTGCAGAAGAAAAGAGTGAGGGAGGATTTGATAGCAGCCTTCGACTACCTAAGGGGGGGTTCCAAAGGGGATGGAGCTCGGCTGTTCTCAGTGGTGGCAGATGACAGAACAAGGAGCAATGGTCTCACGTTGCAGTGGGGGAGGTTTAGGTTGGATATCAGGAAACACTATTTCGCTAGGAGGGTGGTGAAGCACTGGAATGGGTTCCCTAGGGAGGTGGTGGAATCTCCTTCCTTCAAGGTTTTTAAGGTCAGGCTTGACAAAGCCCTGGCTGGGATGATTTAGTTGGGGTTGGTCCTGCTTTGAGCAGGGGGTTGGACTAGATGACCACCTGAGGTCTCTTCCAACCCTAATCTTCTATGATTCCAATTGACTGAGCAGGAGGAGCCAGACAAAGTGGTGCCAAAGGGCACGTCTACACGGTACTGAAAAAGGAGTAGGGCTGAGTTTCAGAGCCCGGGGACCAGCCCCGGTGGCTATGTCCTCACCATTATTTTTAGCCCTGCGATTGTGCGGAGCTCCAAGGCTCGATGCCATGGGTTTTCCTTCGCAGTGTAGACATACCCACGGTGTAAGAAGGCAGACCTGCCCCCAAGGGGGCTGGGTGAAAACATTTCCATCCTATTGCTTTTTATGGGAAATTGGGTTTGAGGCAAAATGAAAACTTTCCTGGAACATGTCTGTTTCCTGTGGGAACGTGGCAGCAGGTGTGTTGGAAAATTGAAAACCTGGAAAAAAAAATTTAGTTTGGGGCCAAAAATATTCCAGGTTTTGGGGGTTCCGTTTTTCAATGAAAAACGGGGAGGGGCCGGCGGAAGAGGAAACGTGACCAGCTTCCGGCTACAATAGGGACAAGTTCGCCCCACCCAGAATGGGGTTCGATCCTTTGTGTTTCACCTGAGGTTGCTACGTCTCACAGGGCCATCATTCGCCGCCAGGGCCGGGCGGTGTTGTTCCAGGTCATTTTTCCGTGAGACTTCTGTTACAATTCCTGGTGATCTGCGGAAATCTCTTTCTCTCACGTACTCAGGATACTGCAGTAGAAGAATCTGTCTCACTGGCTGCTCCGGACTCCTCTCTAGGTTCACATGCTGCTTTGTGACTCTCACACACACACACACACACACACACACACACACACACACACACAC